CTGAGCTGCTGTGAGTGCAGCATAATTGTGCTTGCTTTTCTTACCCATCTTCTCATAAGAATTACCCAGTGTTTGTTTATCCTCATCTACATCTGCCTTGTGACCTCCCTGCTATCCCAGCACTGCTTGGGTTAGGTTTGGTGGTGGAATAGACAGTTCTGCAAAGGGAGAACTGGAGGCAGTTCTGGCATGGCTCTGGGATTTCTCATAGCAACCCAGTGCACACAGCCATCCAGAACTCTATCACCATAGCATGGATGGATTTGCTAAGCTATTTCCTGTCTCCTTGTTCCCTTGTGTAAAACTGCAAAATTATTAGCATGTTAATCATTTTGTGAATTGGCAAGGATGTTTTAATTGAATTTGCTCTCCAAGTAGATATGGAAAAGGAGAGCAGCATTAGAGCAGTCAGTAATGAAAGAGTCTGTTAGATCTGGCTTCTCCCTCTGGGATCCTTGCTAATATAAAATTGGATTCCACTTGCTGGTAGATTGGTGGCCATAGAGAAGACAGCAATTTGTGTTTTCAGTTGTCTTTACAGGCCACTAATTTCATTTCAATGGAGACCTCAGACACCCACTGAGTAAACTGGAGGAGAGTCAGCAGTCAGTGAAATAAAATGATCTCTATCGATGATGGTCCTGGAGCCTCCTGTTCAGGAGCCTTGTGCCCTTGGTCCTTCCTATAATCAGTGGGGGTCTCTTGGTGGTCTCCCAGCTGTGTCAGTGAGGTTTGAGTCTGAATTAAGTCTGAACTGAAGATCGGGTCTCAGCTGCAGTTGCCCTTAGCACTGCAGCTACAGGCCTTGGTGCAAGGCTGGGCATGGGCTCCCTGCACCATGACCCGACAGCCACCCTGTCCCCACAGCCTCTCTGTGTGGCTGGCCTGAGCACTACATTGGTGGGAAGGAGCTGTCAGATTTCTTTATTATTTCCATGAGCAACTATTAATCACCCTATTCCTCTTAATTCTGTTATTTTCAGGGGCTCAAAAGGAACATTAAACAAATAATAAACTTCTTGTGACTAAGGAGGATTAGAGTCAAATGCTCAAAGAAAGGACAGCAGGGATTTTAGGAAAATTGTGTTTTGCATTTGTCTTTCTCCCACACCAAACCCCAGGGCAACAATCTCAGACAGCACATTTTGCAACTTTAAAGGAGTCTCAGCAGTTTGATTTTATCTCAAGCCTGGTACAAGGAAAACTTGTGAAGATGGACCCTGACAAAGCCATTGAAGTTTAGTTCAATCACGTGCTTTGGAGGAAAGCTGTGGGCTACAAAAGGAAACATTTTCAAAATCACCTAAAAACTGATGTGGGAGCCCAACTCCATGCTGGGGACCTGTCCTTTAGAGCCACTTTGCTGCTTTTTGTGAATGTTAACTATAAAATTTTCTGTGGATATTTCTCCATCACTCAAGACTAAGAGATATTAAAAGAAAAGTGAGATTATTGCCCTCACAAAGCTTCTCTGAAGACAGACTCAGCATCAGAGTGAGCATGAGGGAAGCAGGAGGCAGCAAAGGAAATGTCTTTTCCCCTAGGGAGGGACAACGTCTCACCTGAAACCGAAGACTCCAGACTGCCACAAACATGCTCTTTCTGCAAAACTCAGCATGCACCTTATTCTCAAAGGAATCCAGCTGGTACTGGACATGCCACATGTCAGCCCAGGAGAGATATTCTCAAATAAATACAAATTTTAGTAACTTCCAGCTTCAGAGGTTTACTGGTGGTGGATTAATGTAATTTTATGCCACAGTAGCTGTTATCACACATATGTCGACAGAAAGAGTAACGACTATGAATTCTACATGATGGGGGGTGAATGGAGGATGAGTTGGGATAACGATGACTTGACAAAATGAGGGTACTATGGAGGAGTTTTGAAATGGCATTCACACAACTTTGTTTACTGCTGCAAGGTCTGTTTGTTGCCATTCCTTACCCTGCCCCAAGTCCTTTTCTTGCATGATCCTGCACAGTCAAGAGAAGGCCAAAGGCAACTGCTTACTGGCATGGACGTGGAAGAAGTAGAGAGTTTGAATATGTATGATCCTGCCAAAAGGACCTGCTATGTTCTGGTAGAAGAGGTGCAGCATCACCAGCAAAAGAAAGAAATGGGATGCATTCCTCACCCTTTTGGCACTCAGGTTGCCTCAGAGCTTTCCTCCCTGCCTTCACATAATGGCACCGGAAGCATGTAATGTATTTATTGCTGTTGGAAATGCAGAGCCTGAACATGAGAGATGTGTGGGACAATGGAGATACTATGGAGCAGAAGCTGTGAATGCTGACACCAAGCGAGTTGCCAAAGCTTGTCATGAATAATGTAAGAATAGCTCCAGTCCTTTTCCTGCCCATGCAGGGAGGTTTGAATGAATTCGGTGCTAATGTGCTCTCTGGGAAAGTACACTGCCAACTGTATTTTCATGGGGTAGAGTGGGAAAACTTAAAATCAGCCATCAAAGTTTAACTGCTTCCCATTTCTCTGTAAGAGGGTTACTGCTGAGCATAAATATGCATAGGACAAAAATGTCCCTTTTTCTGGGTAGAATGACTGCAGGTAACTTACAATTAGTGTTGGATGCTGATACTGCAGTGAGAACTTTCTCTACATCCCCCCTGCTGGCACAGCTCAATAGACACAGTATTCAAACCCAGTGCTGCAAACAAACGGCTGTAGCTCGGTGAGCAGCACTTCTGCTGGTGCCCACTGAGGGCTGCGTGGCGTACCCACAGCTCTGCTGCAGCACGCCAACTGTTGCACTTTACCCTGCTTCACTAGAGGGGCAAAAAGTGGAAAATGACACAAAATGGAGAAACCAAGGAAGGCTGAGGAAAGTAGCCACCATTGGTGACTTTGGCAGAGCAGTGTGTGGATTAATTGCGGCAAAGACAATCGGCCAAATGCTCCCAGACTGCACTACCCACCTTCTGGCTAAAAAACGTTTTAACCGTATTCATGCAGTGAAACCCTGCAATACTGCCTTCAATGCTGCAATGCTGCAACGGCTCATATAGGGAGGATTAAGACAAGAGGAAAAAGGTGGTGTCTTCCTCAGGATCCCAAGGATGCATTAGAAACACTTATTTCTCAGTATTCACCAGTCAAGTTATCCAGACAAATTGAGAAGGATTTTACATTGTTTCTTTTACTGACTAAACCCTTTAGCGAATCCCCATCAGTTCACATAGTTTAAGCCAAATCAGGGTTGGAGTGGTGTATTGATTTATTAATGATATGGAATGAACTGGCAATCATTGAACAGTGTAGTCAGGATCAATACCAGCCATATAACAGATAACCACAATCACAAGTGGTAGCAAATCACCTTCTGTAATTGATCCCAACATGTGCCACATGTACACACACTTGTGTGTGCATGTATCTTCCTCCCCCCCCAGGCTATGGGGGTCGCACACACCCGTCCTCATCTGGATGTGCAGAACCCTTGCCTCCACCCCTGCTACAGAAGGTGTGGGTGCCCCAGCTCTGTGCAATCCTGCTCTGTCCCACACCCCTGACACCCCAGCTGCGGGTGAGTACCCCACCCTGGGAAGTATGAGCAGGGTGTAGGCTCCTGTAGTGCACCCATTCTGGAGGAGACACTTCAAGATCCCCAGGACACCTCTGCCAACATCCATTTTGCAGTGTGGATCTGTGATGGCGGAGGTAAGATCACCCTTTTGCATGACATCGGGAAAAATTATTTCCTAATTAGCACAGCTACATAACCACAAGCCCAGAACCACTTTGGATTCAGGCTCCTGAGCAGCAGGTTTTACCTGGTGGAAGGGTTTACCAAATGATTTGCTGAGGAATCACTCCAAGGACTGCTTTGTGCCCGTGCAACAGCCTCTCTCAGCCTTAGAAGGAAAGACTTCTCCTCACTGTCTAGTCTTTTTGGGTTTTTTCTTTAGTTTTGGTCCTAGCCTTAAAGTAGTCTCTCTTTCCATAAGACATGTTACACAAACTTACTGCTAGTGTAATATGTATCTGTCTGCCTGAACTTCAAATCCTGTTATTGCAATATGACAGGTTGGAAGGAGTTTGCTTATCAAGAGCATTGTGTAGGGCAATAGATAGTTGTGTATCAGCATGTGTCGTGGCTGTTTTGCTGTGTGTTGGTATAATGGGCTTCTGTGAAAAGTCATGTTTTTAAAGCTCTGTAAAAGTCTTAAGAAAGTATTAGTCTTACTCTGAGGGCGTAAAGAAGAGCCCTCACCTACCCAGGGAGGTGAGAAAATTGTGGTTTGAAAGACTGTGAATGGATCTGACCCATATAAATAAAATACCTTTCATTGTCTGTCGCATTTAAGGATCCCGCCTTTCTGCTAAGTGTGTTTTCAGATCCTGATGATCAGCTTTTAAGCTCTGAAACCAAGATACATTTTAAAAAAGGTTTCAAGCTATGATATCAGATTCCTCAGTGGGCCCAAAAAGTCAAACAAGCAGGAGCACAGCCCTTTCTGCAAAGACCTTGGGTTGTGGTTAATAGAAACAGCAGAGCTTGCAGTACATGTTGTTATATGTTAAAGTCAGTGGTGATGGGGAAGATACCATCTGATCTCTAGAAAGGTTCAGCTCTTCTTCAGGGTGTTTTTAGAAACAGTTGCACAAGTCAGCTGAGCACTCTGTAGTATCAAGGTCTTCATGTTATTACCTGAATAAAGAGTAAGAAGATAGTGAATTTTGGAGCAAAACTTAATTTTACAGCATGACAATTCATGCTGGAGTAACAGCTTGAATAAATACTCTATTCCATGAGCCTTGGGAGTCTGGGAAACAACTGCTCTGCTTTTTTTCTGAAGCGAGGTCAGTGAAGACTGATGCCTACTTCTGTGTGCAAACTGCATTTTACAAAAAAAATGGTAATTAATTTAATTTAAAATTTAATCTTAAATTTCTTTTTAAATTTGTAATTCATTAAATCCTGGGTTTGATCCCAAGAAGGCAGGGAATTAAAAGCTCACTTTGTTCGCATTTTTTATTTCAGCTCCTGTAGGCTAATTGCATTGGAGGGTCTGAAGTAATTTACGTAGTACAAGAAGCACAGTGGGTGAAGAGCAGCATATTTCACAGGCAAGAAGGAAGAAATTCACTGTAAGTGGAGCCTTCACGATGGAAAACCAGGAGAAACGCACAGCAGCCACAACATCCTGACTCATTTCTGTACGGTGATAGATGTTACAGCTTTTACAAACAAATGCTATAGGTGAAAATCCCTTTCTTTTGTCTAGAAGAGACTCCTTTTGTTTAGAAGATACTAGTTCTCTAATTCAAATGAACTGAAGCAAACAAAATGAAAAGCTAAATCAGCAATGCTATTAAACCATTTGAGATTTGTATATAGTCCTCATCTGGGATTTATGTGAATAATGTGGTCCAAAGCAGCTGTTAATCTGAAATCATAGTGTGTATAGGCTTTACTTTTTTAAGGAAAAGATGCTATATTGGAAAAGATTTGTTGACTTTTATCTGAATGCTTTTGTAAAGTTTTTGTAAAGGCTGAAAGTGGCTATTCAAGGAGGACATATAGTGTCCTAGTATTAGGCGGTGCTAGATTTGTAATAAAACCATGGTATAGTAGTGTATAGAAAATACAAAGAATAAAATTTAAAGCATAGCACTTGTTTTTAAAGTATTGCTGCTTTCTTTTTATTCCACTGGGAGTAGGAAAAAAACACATTAAATATACTCATTGCTTGGAAGCCAGTATTTCTAACTGCCTTTAAAGTTAATCCAACGTGATTTAAAATCCCACACCCTGTTTCTGCACAAATATTTGTCTAACTGTACTTGGTTAAGATTTCTGCCATCTCAATGAGTAAATGAATGCCTAAGAAGAAACACTTTACAAAAGAGCTTTGGTACAAATTTCAGATTACCTTTTGGGTCTCCCATACAATAAATACAGACACTTTCTGGTGATATTAGATACACATCATTGAACCAAATTTTGCTGGGCAAGTAGCAAAAGCTTTTGAGTTTCTGTCTGTATTGAATGTGATTTATGTGACATCTTTAGAATGAAGCAGGTCCTGACCCCAGACATGATCTGAGCATCTCTGACATCTTTACTTCAGGCTTAAGCTTCTTCTAGGTCCTCCTCATAGGTCTTGCTAGGACAGCTAACATCTGTCTGTATTAGTTCTATACATTTTCTATACACTGAAATGCCACCAAGCAAGAAAAATAACTTTGTGCTTTATCGCTTGCACTTTTTTTCACTATAAGGTCCTTGAGTGACGCTTGGCTTTTGGGTATGGTTGAAAAGAAAGGAGTTCCAAACAAGTTTGTGAGGCACCTGAAGAGGTGCTCTTGTGAATTCTCAGTCTGCTGACATTAATCTTGGACAGCTTGCTACACTAACGTCATGAACCCTCAAAATTGTGGGGCTGCTATTCATCCCAAAATTCAAACTGGAATTTTTAGTAAAAGGATTTCTAGGGTGGACCCACGTCTAAATTAAAGTGAACAGACTGGTAACTGTAAATAGTCTAATGGGACATGGCTGATAAATGACCAAGCAAGCATACTGTGGTCTTTTTATTTATAAAGTAAACTCAGTACTCTACCTTCTGATTACACAGAGCAGCCCTATCCCTCAGCATCATATTACTTGATCATACACTTAACTGAAGGAACGAGCTCACAGAAGCCCTCATCTCTCAATGATCCAAATATCCTATTTCTCAAATGTTCCAAATACTTTCCTTCCTCCAGGGCTTCAGTAATACTGGCATTTATTTGCAAACAGAATGCTAGTAATAAGCCTTACCACCAAATGCTATTTGCAGGAAAGCAAATATCTGTAATAAAATGTAGAGAACTAACCAAATTCTAAAAGGCAATAAAATTTATTTCAGAAGTTAAAAATAGCTACTTTATTGAGTTCAGATTTATTTAGTGATGTAAATCAATATAATTTAATAGGATTATGTGGCAGAAATATAGCCTAATATTTCTAGGCTTACTAAATCATGATACTTATCAAAGAACTAATCTTTTGTTAATTTTCCTTGTCTGTATTAACAAATTCTGTATTTTTACAACCTTTTGCTAACGCACTTTTTATGTAGTATACCGCGTAATTAAAACCTCAACCTTTCTCTTAAGCTAGCTACTTATTTATTTCTGATGATGGAACAGTAGAACACCAGCAGCAATATAGGTAGATGGTGACATATTTCTCTAAATAATGAAAATCAAAGTGTATCATTCACAAAAAAAGAAAAGCCTTTGTTTATGGTCTTTCCTTACTAAAACCAAATACATGTGTGTGCTTTAGTGATGTTTTCCTGAGAGAGAGAGCTGTTTGAAAGGGCATGTCTTGAGAGCTGAGTGATGTTCAGGAACAGCAGGTACTCAAGCGATCTCCAGCAAAGGAGCGATGCTGGAATCATCTTTCTGCCCAATTCCACCACTTTGCTACAAAGCCTAAGTGGTGTTTCCAGAAACTAAGAATCGCATGTGTCAGCCTGAGAGTTCATGTCCACATCAGTGATTAAGGGCTAGCTGCATGTGCCAGGAAATGGAAATCTTTGTTTATCCATCTCAGCTGAAGAAGTTGTTTTGGTGTCTGTTAAAAAGAATCAGTGAGCTCTGCCCAGAAACGTAGTTTACAAAGTGGCTGGATATGGTGGCTGAGCAGGAGGAGGAGTAACGTTCTTCCCCAAAAGGATGTGAGCACCACGGTAACCCATATAGAAAGCTGTAACATGATTTCAGGAAAGTGATGATTGTTTTGATTAAGAGCCAAATCTGAGAGTTATGAGACTGGAGAGAGATTGAATAGACATGATTTTTGTCTGTTCTAGTTAGGAGAAACAATCTGATGTCGTGGGTAAAGCTGACAGGGATCCAGGACTCCTGCAGTTATAAATCTGACTCAGACTTTGAGATGGTCAACTCAGGTAGCTTTTTAACTCTGCCAGATAATATTAAGATTGAAGTAGAAACAGCAGTATAGACAAGGCTTGGACAAATGTATTCATAATGATTAAATAGCTCATCATTTGTGGTCTCTTGGCTGTCCTTTGACAGATATTCACTCTGGAGTCTGACAGCCAAGCTGAATTCCCCCGATGAGACCCATCAATGGCTTCCAGTTGCTATCTGTAATGGTGGATAACTACCCACAACAGGTTGTAGAGCACTCAGGGAGACAGTAGTGGACCCCAGTGGTGCAATTCTTCAGGTTGGTGTGCAGCCTGCTTAGTTCTCTCATTCCTTTCCCCTACCCATGAGCAGAGTGAAACTTGCAAGTTTCAACTTGCAAGATGAAGCCCATAGGAAGGTCCTCTCCTTTTGCACCAGGAAGGGATCTTGGGGTACATCCAGGGGCAGAGCTGCCTTTGAGGCACTATATAGGAGAAGGCACTCTCCTGTTGGGTCTGACCACTCTGAGGTGTTCTATCAGTCCTAAATAGCAGTGTGGACGGACTTAAATGCTGACTCCACCTGCCAAACCGAGCAGCCTCGCCTAACCCCCTGGAGCTGGCTGTGAGACTAGCAAAAGGTCGGGTAGCCTGGCTCAGCAGACAGAAAGGTGGTTGTTATCTAACAGTGCTACAAGTAGGCACTTGCCCCTTACAAGGGATGTGACAGCTTTCCACCATGCTTGCAGAACGCCAGTGGGATGGTGCATCAGATATGCTTTCCCTGGCTTTTTGCTTCAGTGTCACTTGGGATTGTGGGATCACTCAATAGCTGCATTGCAGCCTTCACCCTACTCATTTGGTCTTAAAAGGATGATGCCTTCTAGGTGGTTAGATACTGGCTGACATGTTGCCCTGTGTGACTTGGTTAGGTTTTTATTTTGTAGTGATATGGGCAATAATCAGCGGTACAGCTGTTTTACAGCTTTAATGTTTCTCTGCTTCGCTTCTCCCAGCAAAGCAACATGCACACCTTTGCCCAACAGATTTCCCCAGACTTGTCTGAGAGCCTTATCTGTGTTAAGTCAATACATAACAGTATGAAAATTTAAACAGAAAGCCACTTTCTTTGCTATTTAATTTGAGGAAGGGGAAAGGAGGGTTAATAGGTAATTTACAGGACCCATGTTGGAAGGCAAATCAATTCTTGATATAACTCCACGGTTCAGCAGTCATGGATGAATACTGCCTGGTGACAGGCAAAAATGTTGATAAAGCTGAAAAGCCAGCAGGAGGGTAGTGATGAGTGTCAAGGTGTGAGGAGAAATCACTGTACAGTTGCTAGGTGATACGTGTCTAGCAGATCACTTTTCTGAATGTGGTTTTCCTTTGTTTTAGCAAATACGATTACATCTGGCAAACCACATACACTCACGTACACACAATTCTTTCTCTTCTTGTGCTTCTCCTGACTGATGGATTGATTTTTCTTTTTATAACCCATGCTTCTCTTTCTGCACTATTGTCTGCAGTAATGAAATCAAAGCAGGAACCTAAGTGTGGGGTTTCATGTGAGCTGTGGAGACTAGACCACAAAACAAGCCATATTCTTCACATTGAGCCAGGCTCTGAAGAAGCCAAAATTAGCTTCTCTTCTATTCTCTCTCAAGATGCAGGAATGCCTGATACTAGTAGTTTGTTTGCAGCTGGAGCTTAATAAGTGTTATTCTTGTTGTTGGAAATCACAGCCAATCTTCAGCACTATATATATATATATTTACACTTCATATATATGTACTTCTGCTTCCCTCACTTGCAGGTAGGACTGAACATCAGTCCTGAGTTATTTGAGCTGCTACAAATAATGGGTTAAACCCCATATTATTTCATTCAGTAGCGATTTAACCGTTTCAGAGTCCTAAATCTATTAATTTGATCATTTATTAAGTAATGTCTTAACTTGGGGATGTTCAACATTGACTTTATTAGCATTGTTGGAATAATTCAAAACTTCTGAAAGGGAGAAAGGAGCATGAACAAAACCAAGGCATATGTTCTAGTTTCTTATCAGCATGCTTGGCTTTCTCCGTGTGGTCCCGGGACACAGTGCACTGTATCTGCCTCTTCCCAAGGGTATGCTTTGGGAGATAATGTCTGTAAGAGCTGCTTTTGGCAGAAAACTCCAGACGTCTCCTGGATTTGCCTGGGAATTAACCCAGAAGTGGAATGAGTCTGGACAATTCCTGAAAAGGAGCTGTCTTCCTCTCTAAGATGGTTATTTGTCATTTCAGGCTTCCTAGTTGGGTGATGCTTATTATAATTTAAGCTTCACTAACAAGGTCTGGCTAGGTCCTACAATCCCCACTAATCTAGCTTAAAATTCAGCCATCAAGTGTGTTAGGTGTGCTGTGTGGCCTGGCTCTGTGAAGAGCAGGGCAGCAGCAGTTTGGGAGACACAGGTGCTCACAGGCACAGTACAGCCACCAGAGGACTGCATAAAGCCACATGACACTTTGCTGCCTTTTGCTCATGTCGAATTACGTGCTCTCCCAATGCCCTAAGCGGTATCAACAGTGTCCGTTTTCCCAATTCTGTTTTTCCTGTGATTCTGTCAGTTTTAACTCCTTAAGGAATGAGATACAGAACCCTTTCTAAAAATGTAGTCTACAGCAAAAGTTCAGACTGTGATGTGTTTGCGTCCAGCAACTCATATGATTTTCCTCCCAGGTCAGGCAACTATGTTTTCGTCAGAGCTTCTGTG